ATAAACTAAATCTAGTCTGTACGACACATAGGGAGCAAATTAAAATCGCAATCTATTGCTCAGTTGTGTATATGTAAGGTAAATTTGTTTTCAAGTGTAATATAGAATACTATATGCACTAGTCTAAGATAGTATATATTATATTATAATTTATATAGTTAAAGGGATTGTGACCTTAGAAACTAAAGAACCTTTCATAAAACAATCTGCTAAGATTATAATTACGAAAAAATGATTGTTTTATTACGCAATTGTATATATTTACTAAATAAGTTTTTTTTTATTTATATTCATATTTATATCTTTTACGTTTACATTATATTCTATTGTATTTTTATATATTGGATATTTTAGTATGGTATTCTTATTTAGACATGTGCGCATCAATTTCTTGGCGCAGCTTATGTATACAGTATAACAACAGTATAAGTATTTCGGGATATTTTCCTTGGTATATCCCTTTATATGAGTTGACATTTAGATATTCCTTCCCAACGTGTTTAAGAACTATAGATTTAAAGGAATATAGTGACTTGAAAGATCTTGATGAAATTCTTCCAATTGATTTAGATCGAACTTTGTTATCTGACATTATTTAGAAAAAATGTGCATAAATTTTAAAATAATAGATTTTTGATTTGAATTTAAGAAAAAAAATAATTGCTAAAGTTCTTAAAACTATTGGAAACTGTGAAACTTCATAAGCAGTTATTCCTATAAAGTCTCAAATGGGTGAACAGTCTCTTTTATTTCGAAAAATATTTTTTTCGCTAATTTCGTCCCTTTATTACCCAGTTGAAAACCTGACAGAATCTAACTGCCCCAGGCTAGTCTGCAGTTATAGGAATTCCACTTTCACTGTCTAGTATATATGTATATGATATAGGAAGTAGTACAAAGTACATGGTACTTAGTGTAAAGTACAATATAGGGAAAGTACAGTGGTATACGTAAATAAGTATTTATATCTTTATTAATACGTGTTAAATGTGTTTTCAATTCAATTTAATTCAATTCAATAAGATAAACAGGGATAAACCTCCCCCCCTTCAAATTAAAAAAAAATAAATTAAAAAGGTTCTCTAGGACACGACTCGCCATTTGCTACAATTTCTAGGTTTTAAAGTTCTTTAATTAATTTGCCACAAAACTGGGTTTTTTAGGTGTGATATTTTTTACTAGAAATGAAGCTTTAATATATCTTATATAATCAGAAAGAATCCAAATTTTAGAGTGATGTAAATATGAATGTTTTTAGGTTAAAATGTCTATATGTTGTTACTCTGAAACTTTTCCCAAAAACTGTCTTAGTAAAGACAATAGCAACACAAAGCTTAAGCAATGCGGAGAGCTCAAAAACTCTGATTTTTCGCTAATATTCCCAGGATATGTTTCTAGAGATTTGATTTGCAATACTGTAACATTCCTTTTTTCAACACTCTCAAAGATGGACAATTTCTGACTATAGACTCTATAAGTAAAAACGTTATTAAATGACTTACTTTTATCTTTCACAAAGGTAGAGAATAGAGTGTACAGTGTGAAGTTCCATTATAGAGTGATAATACATAAAACATACATAGTTTTTTTACTAAAAGGGTTGCATTTGCGCACATATATATAAAGAATACAATACTATAGATAACAAAATTCCTTGATATACATGGTTTCATTGGTTGGTACAGAATTGTACGTAAAAAAGCTGGTAAAGGATTGGTCTGGCGCGCGGCCTAGTTGACTGAGTTGAACTTTAGATAAAAAGTGGGTTACAAAGATATAGACGTCTGGGTCTGAGAGTATGTTGAAATGCATGATATAAAACAAACTATATTTTTCGTTGCTATGCCAAGATAGTAATTTAAACATCTAGAGATCAGGATGTAAAAGTTTGAAGGTGTTTAACATTTTTTTAGAGAAACATACATTTTAGTTTATATAGGTATAGGTATGCAACATTTAGGAGTTTAACACAGTTTATTTACATTACAATGTGTTTGATACCCCTCTACCTACATCACTCATTTATTTTGTATGGAATGTTTGTAATCATTTTTTTTTATTTTAATTGTAAATTTGAATCTGATGTACCATAGTGGACTAGGGTCCATTTGGAGTAAAGTAGCCGCCCAACCCTATCCTGAACCGGTTTGGTTTTAACTTTGACGGCATGGCCAGACCTTTTACAGTACCCGATCTATCATAGGCTATTTGACCTATTCCACTAGCTTAGTGTAGCGTGATGTAAACATTACTTACTGATAGCAAGTGTAAAAATAGTTTTGATTAGTTTCTTTTTGGAATTGTTGTAGCTCTTAAACAAAATATCAAAATACTAAAAGTTGAAATGCTCCAATCTTTGGGCCTATTATAAGTGTAAAAAACACAATAGAAGGTTTATTGCATAAAAATATAATAGTTGAATTTAGAATAAAGAAAGAAATTCAGTCTTTGCTACAAACTCTGATTTCCTAACCCTATTATCTTCAAACCAAAATGTTGTTAGACCTTAGATATTTCAAACTATGAATTCTGTTACATCAAAAAGTCTAAGTTTGAAATATCAAAAGTTTACACCATCATGTGGCAAAGTTACAAGGACTAGAAAATTGTGGCAAAGACTCAGTTTCTATGAAATGTTTTAGTAAAATAACTAGTTTCTGCCCTTATGTCTTGTCATTCTTAATCAAAAGAACTAGATTACTCACCACAAACTCTAATTTTCAAATAGTACCAATAGTTTTAAAAATGTCTAAGGTCGGTAAGTAAGTAAGTAAGTAAGTAAGTAAGTAAGTAAGTAAGTAAGTAAGTAAGTAAGTTAGTAAGTATTAGTATTGAATTATAGAATTAGAAGGCGTTTAGTTCCTTTGTTTACACTTGATAAGTTATAAATTATTATACTTAATCATCTGTTTTAAATTGGAAACTTTGAATATGGATTATGTGCTGAATAATCATTAAGCAATAGATAGGTTTAAATATTTTAAATTCTTTAAGTATTTAATGTTATTAAACTTTATGTATCAACTCCTAAGCTGCATACCACCCCAAAAAGCATATCTACCCCTGCAGTAAACAATCTGTCCATTGAGAACTGCAGCTCCTAGGATATATTAATATAATTAACTAAATAAAAATACACCTTTAATAAAACTAATATATTATACAAAATATATACATTTAATTTCTTATGTTCTTATTGTTGGAAAATCAATTATATTTTGTTGTATTAATCATAAGAATTCCATATTGTAAGATAAATTAATCTATAATTCTGTCACGCATAGGCGGTTTCAGGGGGGGAGTGGCAGTCCATTACCCCCCCTGAGTGAAATTAGGGGGGGCTTTGAGTTTTACAAATCATTTCTCATTTAAAGTATAGTTTTTATTTATTCTTCTATATAAATGATAAATTTTATTTAAAAGTGACAACATTATGAAAATAAATTTTAAGTAAGATATAAATTTTCATGTTTCTTACATATTAAATCCCTCCTCCATAAAATACATCTGTACTTTTCCCAGTACGAGGCATATCTCAGGAATATGCGCATTACTTAAAAAGAGGCCTTGGTATCGACCACTGAAAGTTTAAAACTAAAACTTTCTGATGTAAATATTGCCAGCTCAATGCAGTGGTCTCACCAGTTTGGAACATGTCTTCTATGACCCCTGACAGTTTGGTCAACCTGGAACGGATGGCAATGCATCCCAAGAGGCTTGCCTCAATTTCAGGCATTAGTGTTTTTAATTCATTCATTTCTAGTGGCCCAAGAATTTATTTTTAACTCTAAAATTAACATAGAAACTACTTGCAGTCTCCTGCAAGAAGAATTAGCATGATTTAAGAAGCATTACTTACTAAAAGAGAAAGAATAATAGCAGTAAAATAAAAATAATTCTCCCTTCCTTAAACTAACATGATTGATATGTTATGTTAAATTGTTATATTGTTTCGGTTTCGCTTGGATACCATTTTTGGTAATTAAAAAGCAATTCTGCACTGGATTTTTTTTTTCACAATGTATTCCAGATATTTTTTACATGCTCATTATAACTGTTCTTGAATATGTTTAAAGATTTAGACTCCTTTATATAGTCCGGCAAACTGTTCCATGGGTTTATCACTCTCTCAGAAAAAGAGTTTATGTAAAATGTTTGTATGTAAATATACAGTGTACCAGTTTAAAGTTCAGCAATCTATAATATTTTTTAGATAAATAAATGGATTATAAAGGCATCTTTCCTACCTTGTAATAAAAGGTAAAAGAAACTGTAATTTTAGTAGGGTTAGGAGGGTAAATAGAACGTTTTTGCTTTTAATTTGTATGATAACATTACAGGGAGAGGGTAAAATCAATACAAGGGGGGGTTTTGCGCTTCCCGCGTTTTTTTTTTACCCCCCCTGTCTTCTGAAACCGCCTATGATTCTGTGATAAATTTAAATTGTGTATTTTAATTTGATTTTCTTGTTGTAAGCTACATTAAATTATTTATGCTTGTTTTTAACTTTATTTGAATTCTAAGCTCAAGATATATTCTATACAAAATTATGTTTACCCCTAGTCCATGTAATTTACCAATATCTCCTATTGCCACATCACAGGGATATGATTCAGTTTTCCCGATGTAAATATAATTTTAATATGATTCATTAATGTTTCTGTCTAGCTGAAATATTTAAGTAAATCAAATTACATATTAAAATTTGTATTATATTTGTGAATTTAAAATAGAATTAAATGAACATATATCATGTGATCTACAGAATAGTATATTTTTGTTTCTTATTTTAATTTGAGTAAAATTAGAAAACTTATCTAAAGATGCGATTTTCAGATTGATTGTAGTGTGACTTATTAAAATTATTGAAAATTTTTAATAATGATGTTTTTGTGTTTCTGGAATCCAGAGTTTAAAGTCCATGTTTACTTACAAGCATTATCTCAGGTTTGAACAGTATAAAAGAATGAAAAAGTTTATGAATTTATTAGTGCTTTAATAAGTTTAAAACTTTACAGCTAAACTCAGAAAAAAAATATAAGGTTAAATATTCATTTATCAATTTAATTTAAATAGTTTTCAATGCAAATTATAAATCAGTTCAAACAATTAAGAAAACATTTCATTTTTCTAAACAACATTTGTTTCTTTCAGGTATGATTCTTTCAATTGTATCTATTTTTTTTGCTGGATATCTGTTCTCCTGTAGCAGGGTAAGCTTTTATATCAATTCAAACCCTATCTTACTATTTAAGAGTGAAACAGTATGCTTTATTAAATGAAAATGTAAAAACGATTTCACTCAATAATTAATTTACAGCTTTCTTTGTATTTTCATATTTGTAATTATAAGCTAGGTTTTAATTGTTATTATGTTTATATTGATATTTATGGTAGGGATTTGTTTCTGCAGAAACAACTGCTGTACTTCTAGGAGGTTACTGGGGTAAGTTTTTCTTACTTAATTCTTATTCAATAAGAAACCAAAATATACACTTCTTTAGATCAAAAGATCTGTTCATTTAATTCTATATAGACATTAAAACTTAATTTTGTTTTATTTTCAAATATATAAATTAGATTATTATGATTGAATTAAAATTGTTTAACAAATATTATGATTAATATAAAGAAACTCACCATAGACTTATTATCAGTGGAAACCTTCAACTTTTAAATTAAAAAATCTAATTTCAATTTTAATTTTAAATTAAAATTTAAATTATATTTCACATTAACTAGAATTTATGATAAAATATAATTATAGAATGTAAGTTTTATGTTCTCAAATAATGTTTTTTAAAAATTTACTTAAATATTTCAGTTAGACAGAAACATTAATGTATTATGTTAAAATTGTACTTTTAGATGATGGAAAAACTGAATCATATCCTTGTGATGTGGCAATAGGAGATATTGGTCGTCTAGACGGACTAGGTAAACATAGTTTTGTTTAGAATAAATATTGAGCTAAGAATAAAGGTAAAAACAAGCATAAATAATGTTTACAACGAGAAAATCAAATTCAACTACAAAATTATAATTATTCATTGAATTTTATAATTGATTTATCTTACAGTTTTGATTTCCTATAATAACAGTGGAAATTAGTTCCAAAACTAACACTAAGCAGATTTCTAATACTGAGTATAATACATTGGTTTTAATAAAGGTGTATTTAATTAGTTAATTATATTAATATATCCTAGGAGCTGCAGTTCTGAATGAGCAGATTGTTTACTGCGGGGGATGGGATGGTGGTATGCAGCTTAGGAGTTGATACATGCAGTTTAATTACATTATATACTAGAATAGAATTTACTTATATTTAAACCTATGTATTACTTAATGAAATGATTAAGGATGATAATTTAGACATTTTATATTAGAAATTCTTTAACATTTAGGTTTTATATTTTAGAAATAATCACTTTAAAAAAAAGTAATTTAACACCTTCTAATTCTTTTATCCAATACCTTTGCAACCTGATGTTGTTGACCTTAGACATTTTTATTAATATGAATACTATTAGATGAAATTGTTGTAAGTTTTAAATATCAATGGTTTACACCATCAGATTCAAAGATATAGGGATTAGAAAATTTAAGTTTGTGGCGACGCAATCTAGTTCTTTTCATAAAGAATAACTAGACATAAGGGCAGAAATTAGTTATTTTACTGATACCTTTCATAGAAACTAAGTCTTTGCCACAATTTTATAATCCTTTTAACTTTGCCACATGATGGTGTAAACTTTTGATATTTCAAACTTAGACTTTTTGATGTAACAGAATTCATAGTGTGTGACACCAGTTCTCGTTAGATCACTGAAGTTAAGCACACTTGTCCACAGCCAGTAACTGGATTGGTGTCCAGACTGGTGTTCACGGGTTCGATTCCCGTACTCCACACAAACCTGTGGTTTCAAAAACATCTGAAGCCGACATCTGGTTTAGCAGTTATGACCACCTGACGGATGTAGGAGGACAGAGGGGCGGCTGTCAACAACTCTCGCAGCGAAAGGGTGCGTGCCTTCTGCGCAACAAGAAAGAAGCTTCAAGTGGGATTGATCCAAGTGAATGACGATGAAGAGAGGAATGGTGGACAAGCAGGGAGAGTCTATGGTTGCCAGCTATAGGTACCTGGGGGTATCCAATCCGGGCTTACAGATGTTAGGGAGCAATGAGTGTGATGTTTCCTATCAGTACGGCTTCCGGGCCTCATTCCAGTATATCAGAAGGATTCCTGCACTCTATATTCTCAGGCCTAAGAAGAATCTTAGACAGCTGGAATCTTGTCAACCCTCTTCTCAGGATGAATGAAGCGTGGATGGATGAATGTGCTGCCAGATTACAACCCCTGGCAGATCAATATAAAACCCAGACAACACCAAACTTTCGCAATAGAAAAAATTCCAAGATTTGATCGTAACAACCCGATCATGTCCTGGGGACAAAAAAATCTCTTTTAAAAAAGAATTCATAGTTTGAAATATCTTAGGTCTAACAACATTTTGGTTTGAAGATATCAGGGTTAGGAAATCAGAGTTTGTAGCAAAGACTGAATTCCTTTCTTTATTCTAAATATTCAACTATTATATTTTTATGCAATAAACCTTCTATTGTGTTTTTTGCACTTATAATTGGCCCAAAGATTGGAGCATTTCAACTTTTAGTGTTTTGATATTTTGTTTAAGAGCTACAACAATTCCAGAAAGAAAGTAATCAAAACTATTTTTACACTTACTATCAGTAAGTAATGTTTACATCACACTACACTAAGCTAGTGGGATAGGTCCAATAGCCTATGATAGATTGGGTACTGTAAAAAGTCTGGCCGTGCCGTCAAAGTTAAAACCAAACCGGTTTAGGATAGGGTTGGGTGGCTACTTACTGCGTGTCACTAAGGCCAGTACAAGTGGTTGGTTTGGTTCAAATTCAAATGGACCCTAGTCCACTATGGTACATCAGATTCAAATTTACAATTAAAATTTAAAAAAAATTGAATACATTACATTCAATACAAAATAAATGAGTGATGTAGGCAGAGGGGTATCAAACACATTGTAATGTAAATAAACTGTGTTAAACTCCTAAATGTTGCATACCTATACCTATAGAATACCGCAGGTAGAATATAGTTAACTAGACAACTATTGAAACTATTGAATCAAACAATAACAACATATAGAATATAAAAAAGATGAAAATTCGCAAAATAAAAGTTTAATTGAAGATTTTTGTTTAGAAACTGTTAGAAGAATGAGGGAATGGATTGGATAGGGATTGAAAACATGACAGTGGCTAGAAGATACTTCACCCTGACTACACTAGGAGACAAGATACTTGCTGCAGGAGGAGATACTCCACAGGGGTATGGTTTTTGCTTTTTCTTATTTGTTTTATAACCCTTTTTGTTCTATATTGATCATCTAGCTTTCTTTGCTACTAAAAAGAGGGGGGTTTCTAAATTAAAATATTGAATTATTATAAAAACATTCTCACAAACATATGATATGAATATGTAATATGTTGTAAACTATATAAATTGCTTGAAACTAAACCCATCCCTCCACCTGTGTCAGTTAAAATTATGTATTTGTTTAATAGGTGGACTGCTACTGTGGAGGTGTTTGATGGATCCTCCTGGAAGCTTCAAAACTATAAATTAACATCTCCAAGAAAAGATCACTGTGCTGTTCCTATCAGGTATACACATATTAATCAATAATGATGAAAAAAGATTATATCTATACAGAATATATTTTGCTGTCAAATATTTTCCACCTTGTTTTCACAAATAAATCTAGTAAGATGTATATACGTATATTTTTATTACAAACATTGCTCAACTTTGCTAAATTCCCCCTTTGAAAAGAATAAGCTGTAAATATAATATTTCTTACATTCACAAGTGTGCATGTAGCAAATATAGAGGCCCATAGTAAATTACGTTGTACATTGTTCATATAGCTAAATGTGCCATTAGTAAATACGTAATTGCAATTAACCCATTCCATGTACGTAGATATATATATATAACTCCGTCATACCTATATTATGATTGTTTAATGTTATATATAACAGTGCATAACTTGTAATCACTCTGTTAATGACCCAATTATAATCTAAACTAAACTAAAGAAATATACGTTAGTTGATAGGAGTAACTCCCCACTGTTTACTACAAGAGAATAATTGTTTCCTGTTTTGATAAACAGGTTGAAGATTGTCCCCTTTAATTTGGGATTGATAAGTAATAGCTTGTTTGATAGCTACGCTTTTGTCCCTGTGTGGCATTTAGAGCCTGGATTAATAGCTTGTGTGATAGCTACCCAGCTGGAAAATTATTTTTTCTTTCCACCGTTTTCTTATTTTCTACTGTGATCGGAACTCTTTTTTTCATCCGCAAATGTCTTTTTGTGGAGCTCCGGCATTGGATGATTAAAAGCTGTCTTTTTTTAGTCCGCAATTGTTTGCTGTCGGAGTTTGACTCCATCGTCGGATCAAAACTAATTTATCAGTCCGTCTGAAGAACTTTGAGGATGAAAAGACAAACTGTTTCTTCCGATATGAAATCAAAAAGGATGATAAAAAACGAGGGCCCGCTGAAAAGCGCGCTCATTTGTCAAATCTTAGCCAGTTTAATTCATTTCTTCAAGGTGTAAGCACGCTGCTCAATTTGTTCAGAAAGTTTCTACATGATAAGATCTGCATGACCTTTATAACAATTGCGAAATTTTTTAAGTCATGGAATGCTCTTTATGTATAATAATAAAGAATTTTCCATGATTTAGCTGATTAGCATTAATCATCAATCTTCAACTTCAACCCTCAAAACAGTCAACAATTCAGTCATTAATCCAAAACGTGAAAATATCCCTGATTATTCTATGATATCTATATATTTATAATCGTAACAAAGGGCCTTTCACTAGATTTAATAATTATTATATAGATNGGGGGGGGGGGGGGGAGGACTTTAAATCATCCGTTCATGGGAGTTTCAAAACTGCCACATAAAACTTGTCCTTTTTCTCTACAGGTGTCGGTCTACCGATCGTTAGACCGATCGGTTCATCCGACCTGTTTACGCTATCCATCTCCGCTTCATGTATGATCGGAACAGATCGGAATGGAAAATCGGAGCGATTTCATTCCTACGCCAGAATTCCTCAAGTCAGAAATCGGAATTCCGATCGAGAGAAATTTTCCAGCTGGGTACGCTTTTTTCCTGTGTGGCATTTAGAGTCTGAATTAATAGTTTGTTTGATAACTACGCTTGTGTCCCTGTGTGGCATTTAGAGCTTGATTAATAGCTTGTTTGATAGCTACCGAGATTAGCAAAGTGGTAGTGGCGTTGATAGTTCATGGGATTGTAACTGTGTGGATCATGTCCTGTTTGACTTTGATAGCAGACTGGTTGTACCTGGATAGATACGTTTCGAGGACTTGTTATGGAGTACTGCACACTTGAACAGAATTCATAAATAATGCTCTAAGAAATATGATTGTCAGAATTTTTTAATCTTCTTTATATTTCTTAACATTTTATGTTCTAGTGAGAGTGAAGTGATGCTGATTGGAGGATATTATGGTGGTTTCTTATTATCTCTTGTTGAAACCTACAGTATTGAAAAGGGATTCATTGCAGAGCTTCCATCAATGCCAACTTCAAGGTAATCTTTTTAAACATATTTGAAGACTGAAATATTTATATTTGTTTTATTTTATCTGTTTTATGATATTTTCTAATATCAATATTATTGTCATTCTTAAACCNATACAATGAATATACAATAATAAACAATTGGATTTAATGAATTTAAATATTAAAATCTAATATATTTAAGCAATTCATACTCATACTCTTTGTATGGTGCTTTATAAATAAAAAATACCTTTTTGTTGCTTTTAAAGAAATAGAGATTTTGCCACAAACTCTAAATCTTTAATTCATATATCTTTGCCACCCAATATTAAATGTTCAAACTATCAGGTTGGGAAGATATAGGAAAAATTGAGTCTGTGGCTGAAACTTAGTCCTTTCTTTGATAAATTGCATTTATAAAAAAGTATATAAATATTAAAACACTAATTTTGAATTAAACTTTCTAAGATCATATTATATGAATATTGTGTTTAATATTTGTTTGTTTAGGTATGGTATAGGATGCAGCATGTTTAAGGGAGAAATATGGACAGCTGGAGGAACCAATGGTAATGGATATATTCTAGATGTTGTAGAAATCCTGACACCAGGGTTTACAGGGGGGACTTGGAGGAGTGGCCCTAAGCTAGCCATGGGGAGAAGCTGGCTAAGAATGGAGGTGCTTGACAACAGCCTGGTAGTCTTTGGAGGTGCTGGAGCTGCAGAGAGCCTGGAGATGCTGGATGGAGAAGAGTGGAGGGAGGAACCTCTGCAATATGGACATTATATGCATGCCTCTGTATCGATTTCTTGTTGATACAATTGTATATCTATTCTATTGTAATTTAAATTTATAATTTGATTTAAAATATTGTCTTTTCAAAAAATAAATTCGTTTTATTGCAGCAAGTTCTTGTTGATAGTTCTGATTAAAACAAAAAAGGAAAAGAGTACAGAAGTGTCAAGTTTTAAATGTCACACTATGAGACTAAAAAAATATTAACATGTGTGTAACATAAAAAAGTTCATATTATCATATTATCTGTGGTTTGATAAAAATCAATCAAAAAACTATCTACCTGATACTGTTGAATAATAGAAAAAGAAGAATTAAAATCTATAACAATATATAAGAATATATACAAAAAGTGTCACTTTATGAACTTATTGTAGACTAAAAGTTTCCAAAGAAATTTTTATTTATAAACTGATTTTGGCTTTTTATAAGGACTAAAGTAATGAATTCCATATTAGGAAATTGTTCATAATAAGTTCTAATATTCTAATTCCTATATCTTTGAAATCTTTGAAATATCAAAGGTTTACACCATCAGGTTGCAAAGATATGGGGATTTGAGAATATGAGTTTGGGAGTGTTCATTTCTTTTTTATCTTCAATTTGAAATAAAAAATAATAAAAAATCAACGTTTGAGTCAAGGTCTCATTCTAGGTATAAGAAAATGTCGATCCTGGGCTATTTCAAAACTGATAAAATTCGTTCATCTTCAAGATGAAATATTAAAATCAATGGTTGATTCAAAATCTCATTCTAGGTATAAGAAAATGTTGATTCTTGGCTTTTTCAAAACTGATGAAAATCACTCATCTTCAAGATGAAATATAAAATCAATGGTAGATTCAAAATCTCATTCTAGGTATAAGAAAATGTTGATTCTTGGCTTTTTCAAAACTGATGAAATTCACTCATCTTCAAGATGAAATATTATTGTATATGCTAAAAATTCAATACAACAACTCAAATTATCAAATATTCAGCGAGACGGTTTTACAATTTATTATTATTATTTTTATACAAACACGAATAAACTAAAAAGATACATTACGATCGTTGAAAAGAATAATAATCAGTGGAAGATAGATGCTTAGGATATTCTTCCACCTCTCATCGAACGGGTTGGTTAACAACTAACTCCTTTCTCTCAGGCTTCCCTCCACCCTCGCCTAGATCTTAACCCTAGCTCCCCCGGCTGATCGGGCCGACTCTGCTGCACCCCACCCTCCAAAATAACGGACGGCGTCGCTTGGGTTATTTTTAGATCTGTTTGGCTTGTTAGAATTATCACGTAAACACAACTAAAACCGTTATAATTCCAAAGTCAGTACAATGGGTGGGGGAGGGGCATGATACCCCTAGATAACTATGATCGCAGCGATCTTAAGATCCCTTGAATCGCTGATCGTAAAAGATCAACAAAATCACAACATCATTACAATATAAAATCAATGGTAGATTCAAAATCTCATCCTAGGTAAAAGAAAATGTTGATTCTGGGATATTTCAAAACTGATGAAATTCACTCATCTTCAAGATGAAATTCACTCATCTTCAAGATGAAATATAAAATCAATGGTAGATTCAAAATCTCATTCTAGGTATAAGAAAATGTTGATTCTTGGCTATTTCCCCAGCTAGCAAAATAACCGATTTCTGTTATACCGCCTCGTATATACGACAGGCTTCGCCAGAGTTGGGCGGAGCTCGGATCATCATGTCCGATGTAGGTCCTGGCGGTATAGTAAACGGCACCCACCCAGATCTGTCGTACATACGATGTAGTATATACTACTGCGCAGATATGATCTCCCACATCTGAACACTTTGATGTTGGTACCATGTAGTTTATACTAAATCGAATTCTTTCTCACCGATGTCTACATTCTACATCTGGGACATTAACACCGATGTCTACATTCTACATCGGAAAGAAAGAATTCGATTTAGTATATACTACATGGTACCGACATCGAAGTGTTTATAGATGTGGGAGATCATATCTTCGCTGTAGTATATACTACATCGTATGTACGACAGATCTGGGTGGGTGCCGTTTACTATACCGCCAGGACCTACATCGGACATGAAGATCGTAGCTCCGTAC